TGAATGAAGGATGGGGACCTATTGTTAATGTATTTTTTTTTGGACTTATATTACTATTATAAATATGATAATTATGCTGTAATAATTGAACTTGTTTGATTTAACTATGAATGGATGGGAATCAAGGTTTTAAAGGTTTCTTTTTGATTTAATAATGGTTGAAGGATGTGGACTTATTGTTAATGCATTTTTTTTATTTATTTTTTTTGGACTCATATTATTTTTATAAATATGATAATTATGTTGTAATAGATTGAATCTGCTTGATTTAATTAGGAATGGAAGGGAATTTTTTTTGATACTATAACTGATATGTAATTGAAGTTGTAAATTTTATTAAGGATTTAAAATGATTTTTTATAGGTGTAGATTGATGAAATGATAGAATATATTTTTTAAAAATAGAAATGCACTTATATTATTACTACAAATATGATAATTATGTTGTAATAGAGAGGAAGAGTTATTGGTGACAGGGAAAAACTAAATTTAATGAATGGTTGTTTTTTTTTGGCGGTGTTAAAGTATCTTGCTGAATTGGTAAAGATTTTGGTGATCTGAATTACTTAAATGAATAATTTTTACTAATATGGAGGAGATGGGTTTATAATAGAGTTTGTGGAGTTAGAGAAATTAATATTCGTTTACTTATATCTGAATATTAGCCTGGGATTTGGTTTGGGAAGTCCGGGGGGGTGGGATATAATATTGTGTAATAATATTGTGTAATACTGGTGTTGTTTTTTTTATGATGAAAACAATAAAAATTTTATATTGAAAAAAAAAAAATAAACAAGAATTTATTTTTCTGTTCAAATCTATATCTGTATCATGCAATAAATACTTCATTCCTCAACTAATTTGTTTTAGAAGTCAGCCACAAAAAAATTATGGAAAAGTACTCCAAATCAGAGGAGAAAAATTAAAGAGAAATTAAGATTGATATAATTTCTTCACAAACTAGATGTCAGTTTTTCTGAGGCCTGAACTTAGATGCTAGTTTGTTAAGCTTACTGGATAATTCCCATAATATTACTTTCAATGTGCACAGTTACAGTTATAAACATATATTTACAGTCCATATGAGTTATGGTAATACTTATGGAAAGAAGGTGTGCCCACCAGATGGCACATTAGCTTACAGCAGCTTTTCAGATTTCCATACAGGAGTTTTGCACTGAAAGATTTGCTAATTTAGGAAGAGATATTCTATACAAGCAAGGCACTCATCTTGATTTAAACAAATAACACTTAACTTTCAGATAGCAAGAACAAAAGAAGGCAAATGAATGGCTGAATATGTTTTCAATTAGGCAGAAACTCAATTTCTTTGTAATTGAATCAAAAATAAACTTAGCTAAAGTTTATTTAACCAAAAATTTAGAATAGCTAAATTTTCACCAGAAACCCCAGACAACTCTATAGCTACTGACCTTCAGATAATTTTGAATCACATTTATTTAAGGCATCATCAATATGCCTTTTTAGCAGGCACAAAATATTACAATATGGATTAACAGTCAAAAATTATTTCTGTATTATTTTGTATTACTGCTATATGAATGTACAAGTTGGATCTTGAAGATAATATATTTGAACACTCTGCTCACTGCTGAAAGTCACTGCTATAGCATCTCTCCAAAATAGCCATCCAGCCTTTCTTTTAGCACCTCCTGTAGGAATTTTTTCCTCATGTTCAATTAAAATAAATTTCTTGTAATTTAAATCTACAGTTTCTTACCTGTTCCCACAAAACAACTGAACAGTTCTATCCCATCTTCTAGATCAGGGTTTTTCAAACTGGGTTCTGTGGGCACCTGATGTGATTCCATTAAAATTCGTATAAAATAAAAATTTACTTGAACACAGCCAATTTTCTATCGGTAGAGCTTTGCCAACTGGGGGGATTCAGGATTAAAAAAAACTAACAGGTCCTATGGCTGAAAAAAGTTTGAAAATCCCTACTCCGTATGACAGTCCTTCAGATTCTTGTCTCCCTACAGCAGTGGTTCTCAACCTGTGGGTCGGGACCCCATTTGGGGTCGATTGACCATTTCATGGGGGTCGCCAAGCAAGGCTGTCTGCCATTTTTTTTTGTCTGCCATTTTTTTCCCCCTTTTCCGGCGGGTGCCTTACCTCCCTTGGGCTGGGCCAGCTGGTGGTCGGCCTGCTCCGTCTCTGCCGCTTGCCAGCTACGCCTCGGCCGGTGCAGGGGGCGGAACCACGCATGCGTGGCGCTCCTGGGCAGGGAAAGTCCTTGACTTACGACCGCTTGGGTAGTCCTCGACTTACGACCGGTTTAGTCCTCGACTTACGACCAGTTTAGTCCTCGACTTACGATCGGCTGGGGTCGCGGCATTAAAAAGGTTGAGAACCACTGCCCTACAGTTTTCTATTCTCCAACTAAACATATTCAACTCCTACAACCATTGTTCCTATATTTTTCTTTCCAGGCCTGTTACTCTCTGGACTACTCCTTGTTTTTCACTGTCCTTCCTAAAATGCGTTGCTAAGAACTGGCTGCATTCAATCAAAAAAATATTCCTCCTCTGCATCCCTGTAAGTTATTTCTTCAAATGCTGCCAACTGTTCTATTTTCACCTATTTCTCCTAGACATTTGACCCTTAGTGGAGTACACATAGCTTTGCCCTGTGCTGCCAGGTGCAGACATATACTAGTACAAGCAGGGAGTACAGAAACACACAACACTTCTTTATACAGAAGAAAATACAGATGCATCTAGAATATTTGTAAGGGCTCAAAGTTGACTCAGCCTTCCATCCTTCCACGGTTGGTAAAATGAGGTCCCAGATTGTTGGGGACAATATGCTGACACTGCAAACCACTCAGAGAGTGCTGTAAGGCACTATAAGTCTAAGTGCTACTGCTATTGCTAACTGAAATTAGCATTTATTGCTATATAAATATAGATATGATAGATATATAAATATAAAGCCAGTTTGGTCTAAGTTAAGACATCAGGTTAGAAACTAGAAACTGTGAGTTCTAATCTCACCATAGGCATAAAAGCTAGCTGGCTGACTTTTGACCAGTCACACTCTCTCAGCCCAACTTGCTTCATACAGTGGTTGCTGTTGAAGGGAAAGTAGGAGGAGGAAAGAGTATTATGTATGTTCACTGCCTTGAGTTGTTTATAGAAATAATAGGCAGGATTTAAAAAATCTAACAAAATGCAGTTAGAGGTACTATTTGTTA